TAAGGGGAAAGGGAGGTCACCATAGTCATGGCGTCAGTCACAGGAGCAGTGGCGCCGTGGTTCCAACAGGTGACCTCGAATGGGCGATTGGAATATGAATGATTCGGCTTAGATTTGGCCTACTCCATCTCAGGGATAAGGGGTGTAACACGACTCGCTGGGACCAAACGTTATGGTTGCCATCGTTCTGGCTGGCGATCGTAAATTACCTGTCCTGTGCGGCAATCCAACTGAGGCATTCGCTAACCCTTCTAAGCTAATCTCAGGTAACTAATTCTTTTTCGCTTCTTGCATTTCGCTTAGAGCATTGAATGCAATGTCATAGCTGCTGCTTTATAGGGTAGATGGGATAGTTCGGCGTGATCGCGTTACTGCCCTTTCTGTGACCTTTGAGAATGAACATGATTGACTGCTGGCCTTCTTAAAGAGTACTTGCAGATGCAACAATCGCGAACCGTTATTCAATGCTTCGTCCCATGTGCTACAGCTACAAGTAGGAGGTCGATCCGTGACTGTCCCTGTTCCACAATCTATAGAGGCCTTCGAGCCGACCGCCGAGCAACCACCACCTGACTGCCCTGCCCCGCGGATTGAGTGGGCATACGGTACGTTTTCGGAAAGTTTTGATTACCTACGCACATCGAGAAAGGTGTGCGTCGCTCAAGTAGATAAGAAGAGAAGAGTAGGGCAAGCTGGATGAATGAATTTCCACAGGCTATCGAGGAAAGGATGTGAGGAATAACGTCCACTACTTACCGACGGGCGAGCTAGTGTACTTTAGTGGTTCCGTTGTTGTGATGCATAACATAAAGGAGCACTACCAACGTCATTACACTGGCCATACTAGCGATGTAAAGTGGTGAGCACACAGAAATTTTTTTGCTTTTCGCGTTTTCTTTGTATCCAGTAGGAGTTTTTCAATTCTCTGAGGTTTTCACCATCTCCTGTTTTTCAAACGAAGTTCATTTCGAGCATTTGCATCCATCCAAGCCGAGTACTTGTCGCCAGTGGTCAGACCACGTGCCATCGACGGGATCGTCGACCGGAGTTTGATCGTCGCGACACGGTTGTCACACCGCTTGATATTGAGAATGAATTAGACCACAACCACACTGAGGTACAGTCACTACTTATTTCGTCCACTTGAACTGTGAAAAAAGAAGGTAAACACATTCCCTTCGTGAAAGGAATGGAGGTTCTTCTTGGAATCACAGCTGATTTTCTGAATGGTATGGGGGTTTGACAATCGCTGCCATTTTGTGAAAATTCTTCATGCTGCTACAAACACCTCAATTCAACGCAGAATCGAGGAGGTGTGCCTCCACCAGGACTTTTCCTATGTTGGGATCCTTCCAGAGGAGGGGTCCTATTGGGATGCTGGAGGGACTAATTGACTTTGAGTAGAAGGTTTTCTATTGTTTACTTTCCTCGTTTTTCTCTTTTGACATGCGCTGCACATAACCCCTCCTACACTCTCCCTCCGCCC